AACGGTGGGGACTGCAGCATCATTTGTCATCCTAACATCATGAAACATGCCTCATTTCAAAAACATTTATTTTTTTGAGACCAAGTCTCGCTCTTGTCCCCCAGGCTGGAGTGCAATGGTGTGATCTCGGCTCACTGCAACCTCTGCCTCCTGGGTTCAAGCGATTCTACTGCCTCAGCCTCCCAAGCAGCAGGGATTACAGGTGCCTGCCACCATGCCCAGATAATTTTTGTATTTTTAGTAGAGACAGGGTTTTACCATCTTGGCCGGGCTGGTCTCAAACTCCTGACCTCAGGTAATCCACCTGCCTCGGCCTCCCAAAATGCTGGGATTACAGGCGTGAGCCACGGAGACTGGCCTTGAAAAACATTTATAAAGGGTTAAATAAATTACACAAACTGAGGAGAAATGCTGTTTTCACCAACCATGGCGAGGATCAGCATGAAAATGACCGATTCCACTGGTCACATAATTGACAGAGCAATCAGTAAACCCAGGCACATCGTGGGGATAGGATGCTACTGTAATAGGTCTCCTGTTATTATAAATAAAAAACTTACTGCACCTTACTCACCCAAGCCTGCCATGGCAGCAAAGATGGGTTTTATACAGAAGTGAATTACTGTCTAAGGTCTCCGGGATTCCTGAGTTTGACACGGAGGTCGGGAAGAGGACGTGTGTCTCAGGACTAATGTCCCATGATTAACCTGGTTGATTGTATATTAACAGAAACAGGTTAACCTGGTTGATTGAAACGGGTTAAAACACAACACAAGGCGTCCCTGGGTGGGATCGAACCACCAACCTTTCGGTTAACAGCCGAACGCGCTAACCAATTGCGCCACAGAGACCGTGACTACTGCTTCTACAGGATGCTGAAGGCACCGCACACTCACCAAACTGCTCCCAGCCCTTCTGTCCTCAGGATGACTGAGGAGGCCTTGGAAAACCGGAGAGATTCGAGACCGGTGAGTCGCTCTGGTCACGCTGAACACCCGCGCGTTGGGAGATTCTGGAGCCAGGACAGTCGAATGGCCTTCGCCCACCCTGGCCCTGGTCTGCTTCAGAAGTCCCCGGAAACGCCCCCATCCGAAACCTGCCCGAGCCGCCTGGTGGCCCAAGGGAAGCTGAACGCCCAGCGGGCTCCCGGGATGGCTCTTCCCATTTTTTGCGCCGCCTTCTGGGATCCTGCGCCCCGATCGCCGGCTCCACCAGGGTAGGAATGTGGTGAGGGTGGCTGGTGGGTCTTCTCGCGAGGAGCAGGGTCTGGCACTCACCAGGGCCCACGACTAGGACTTCTCGAACGAATCCGTCGTCGCCTTTTGCTTTTAGTCCTCTGAAGAACCCTGAAAATAGAAATCACGAACTTTTTTCCCCATGAGGAAGTTTCGTTCTGTTTGTTGACAGAGTCTCACTCGGTGGCCCAGGCTGGAGTGCAGTGGTGCAAACTCGGCTCACTGCAGCCTCCACCAGCCTCCACCTCCCGGGGCCAAGCGATCTTCTTGCCTCAGCCCCCAGATAGCTGGGACAACAGGAGCGCCATCACGCCCGGCTAATTTTTGTATTTTTTGTATTGACAGGATTTCGCCACGTCTCCCAGCCTGGTCGCGAAGGGGAAGTAAGTTCTTTGTAAAAAGCGTTGATTCCGATCGATTTCTCCCCATCCCGAGAAGAGGGCAAGGGGCGAGGCCCTCTAGGGGCCAGAGGCAAGCTGAGGGGCTCAGCTGCGCTGATTTTGGGTGCGTGCCCGGGGCGGGAGGCTGGGAGCTGGGCAGGAGGTGGGTCCAACAGGGAATTGCCAGGAGGAGGGTCGGTAGTCTGTAGAGTCGGGACCGGGGAAACAAAACTTCGCCGTAGCTTTGTGCAGCGCTGAGGACAGCACCGGGAAAAGACTAGAAGTGTTGTTTTGTTTTGTTTTGTTTTTTCTTTTGTTTTGTTTTGTTTGTAATCGTAGCAGAGTGGGGAAAAATGGAGAGACACCAAGAATAAACGAAATCTACGTGGACCCTTTGATCTCCAAAACGGAAGCGGCCCTGCGTTAAGTTTGAAGAGCCCGGCGCTTCAGCTCCTGTGCTCGCCCTGCTCGCATCGTGGTTGCTACTCTGTGCTGTGGCCGCAACAGACTCGGCTCGAATCGGAGTCACTGCAGTGTCGCTTCTGGGGTGCAGGGCTCTTCTTTCCCGTTAGCCTCCAACCTCAGCCTGGGCTGCGCGGTTTACCTGTGACTAGAGAGGTTACAACTTTCCTGCGGCTTCAGAGCTCTCTGTACTGGCAGTAATAGAAGGAACCCGTAACCTGCACGCGGGGGTCGCGTCATCTTGAAAGGCTAGACTTTTGCCCCCTCTCTGAGCAAGTGCAATACCCAAAAGCTGAGGGGCTCCCTCTCAGTCAGCCTCATTGGAGTCTTTTTCTGATGACATGATGTGGCCATGCCTGTTTCTTTAGCTCAGATGTTTCAAACATCCTTAGGGTCTTTTCAGGCCAAAACAGAAATGAACAAGAGAAGTTAAGAGTTCACACTCCAGCCGGGTGTTTTAAGTGAAACCTAAAGAATATAATAAAATCTAAACTCAATGACATTCCCCAACCCCGATTTTTAATTTTGTTTTTACTTCTTTATTTGCTCTCAGTAAATGACTGAGGTGTAATCCACACAGACCAAAGTGTGCTAATCCTAACTTCAAGGGCCAGTGCATTTTGACAAAGAAACTGTCACCCAGATAAGTTACCGGACATTTTCACCAGCCCAAAAAGTCATTAGAGCCTCTTCCCAGTCAATCCTCAGCCCATCCCCACTTAGGCAGTCACCCTTCTGATTTCTATCTCTGTGATTTGCTTTTGCTTCTCCTTGAAATCATGTAAAGGAGTGTACTGACTTTGCCCGTTTGGTTTTTTTTTTTTTAATGCAACAGTGGTTATGAGATGCTTTTATTATATGGCATAAATCTCAGGTTTTTGCTGTTATTGATGAATGTATTCTAACCTGTGAATATACCACGGTTAATGGACACTTGGGCTGTTTCTAGTCTTGGCGATTGTGAACAAGGTGTTTACAAATATTCCACTATGGGCCTCTTTATGGACCTGTGCCTTCATTTCTGTTGCGTGTACGCCTAGTAATGGAATGGCTGGGTCAGGAAGTAGGTGTAGTTTTCACTGTATTGGAAACTATCAGGCAGTATTTTAGATTGGTTACACTATTGTAGTCTCTTTTTCTTTCTCTTTTTGAGACAGTCTCACTCTGTTGGCCAGGCTGGAGTATAATGGCTTGATCTCAGCTCACTGCAACCTCTGCCTCCTGGGTTCAAGCCATTCTCCTACCTCAGCCTCCCAAATAGCTGGAATTAAGGCCTTCTTCCTCAGCAATACTCAGGGTCTCAGTGCTCGGATTTCTCTGTGCCAATCAGCGGGAAATGGAACACGAGCCAATAGCGCTAAGGATCCGGGTCTGTAACAGGGGCCTGTCAGGTGCAGGATGCTGTTGGCTCCAGTGATGTTTCTCAGATGGGCTGATTTTTATGGACATAGCCTCTGAAAGAAATCAGTCAGGGAAAGATTCAGAGACACTTACCTGCATGTTAATTCTTCATTAATACAGAAGGGAGAACTGGCATTAGATTGTTTTCAGCAAATAAAAGTAAAATGAAAATTTAGAAAGAAAAGAGGAATGGGGAGCAGAAAAAATGTCTTGGACCATTGTGATTTTGCTCCTTTGGATAAGTGAGTTGGCAGAAGCCTATCAAAGAGGTCACTGTGACCTGTCTTCTCTGGACCCATGTGACTTGGTCACCACAGGAAACAATTATAAGCTGGGCACAGTGACTCACAACTGTAAGTCTTACTGACACTTTGGGAGGCTGAGGCAGGTGGATTGCTTGAGGTCAGTTGGAGAGCAGCCCAGGCAACATAATGAAACCCCGTCTCTACAAAAAGATACAAAAGTTAGCCAGCCAGCATTGGTGTATGCTGGTAGTCCCAGCTACTCAGGAGGCTGAAGCGGGAGGATCACCCAAGCCCGGGGAGGTTGAGACTGCAGTGAGCCATGATCATGCTCCACTGTGACCGTGCCACTGCATGGCTGCCTTGGCAACAGTGTGAGACATTGTCTCAAAAATCAAATGAAATGTCCTAGAAGTTTACCTGTCCATCCTGTGCCACAGAATATCTGTGTATAAAGTCCTCCATATCCTTCTGTTGTATTGTCCCCTTAGTTAAGCTGTGAAGCTACCTAGCCCCTTATTAGAATATCATGGGCACATGGCCGAGTGCGGTGGCTCACGCCTGAAATCCCGGCACTTTGGGAGGCCAAGGCAGATGGATCTGTGTAGCCCAGGAGTTAGAGACCAACATGGGCAACAAAGCAAGACCCTACCTCTACAAAAAAAAAAAAAAAAAATCTGAATGTGCTCGTGCATGCCAGTAGATCCAGCTACTGTGGAGGCTGAGGTGTGAGGATCACTGGAGCCCAGGGGGTGGAGGCTGCCATGAGCTGAGACCACGCCACTGCACCCCACACTGGGTGACACAGTGACACCTACTCTAAGAAAAGATGGGGAGGGAGAAGAAAGTTTGTTGTGTCAGCAAGTAAATGAAGAAAGCGACAGTATTAGAGTTGAGAAATAAATTGGAATATCATTTGGTACTTCTCCCACAGAAGATGAATCTGCTAACTTTGCTGAAGTTACAGGCGTTATACAAGGCCCGATGCAGTGGCTCGTGTCAGTAAATCCTGGCACTTTGTGAGGCCTCAGAGCTGCTTGAGCCCAGTAGAATCGCACAGACCAAAGTGTGCTCATCTTAGCTTCGATTAAGTTTAGGAGAGCAGCCTGTGCAACATGGTGAAATCCCTTCTCTACAAAACATACAAAAACCAGCAGGGTATGATGGTTCATGCCTGTAGTCCCGGATACTGGGAAGGCTGAAAGGTGGGAGGATCACTTCAGCCTGGGAAGTTGAGGCTGCAGTGAGATGTAATCAGGCCACTGCGCTCCAGCCTGAGAGACAGAATGAGACCCTGTCACAAAAACTAAAAATTAAAATTAAAAAGCCTGTAACATGGCAGTGGCACATCCAGTTCTCTACATTACAGGAATATCAGTGGCCAAAGAGACGTGTGCAAGAACGATCACTGTAGGATTCTTTGAAATCCTAAAACCATGAAGCCAACCTCATTTCCAACACATTTTGAAAAGGGTTAAATAAATCATGCAAAAACTGAGGGGGAAATGCTGTTTTCAAAAACGATGGAGAGGATTATGATGATGATGAATGATTCCACTGGTCACATTACGTAAATCCAGGCACATCCTGGGGATAGGACACCTCTCTAAGCTTCCTGTTAAAAATAAAAAAAAAAAATGGAGGCTGGTATAGAACCCATCCAAGCCTATGAGGGGCAGTATGAGGATTTTATCACACCAGAGGGACTCATTTGGTCTCTGTTTCTTGTACACAGGCACAAGACAACCTGACATTTTAGGAGATGCTCTGTCAGAATTGGCTCTGTGAGGGACCCTGTTAACTGTGACTAGAATACTGAGAAGAGGAAACCCTCCCTGAAATGGGCATATCCCTGGCTGGCCTGGAACCACCAATCTTTCGGAGTTAGGACTATGGGAAGAAACGGGAGATTCTCTAGTGATTGATAATATATGAACGCTTTAAAAGTTAGAGGAGGCGTCCCCGGGTGGGCTCGAACCACCAACCTTTCAGTTAACAGCCAAATGCGCTGACCGATTGCGCCAGAGACAGGTGCTGGTTGTGCCACTGAGTGCTGTAGGTAGGGCGACTCACCAAACGTCCCGCATCCCGTCCAGACTAAGGGCTGCCCCGACAGGACTGATAGCGAGACCCGGAGAGATCAGAGCAGCGAGTCCACTGGTTCCTTAGGTCACCCATTGGGAGATTCTGGAGTCAGAGGACATCGGAATGGCCTTTACGGGCCCTGCCCCACCGCCGCTTCAGAAGCCCCCGGAAATGCCCGGGTCCGTGACCCAGGCGGAGGCACCTGGGGGTGGAAGGGAAGCTGAGCGCCCGCCTGCTGCCGGGATGGCTCTTCCCGTTCTTTGCGCCGCCTTCACCCAGTGAGGGAGCCTCTGCCCACCCTGCCCAGTCGCTTTCGGGGCGCTGCGGAGCTTCCGATGCCGTCTTCGGATCCTGTGTCCCGCACGGGAGCTCAACCAGGGCAGGGATGTGGTGAGGGTCGCTCGCGGGTCCCCTCGCGGGGAGCAGGGTCCCGCACTCAGCCGGGCGCACGACTAGGACTTGTCGAATGAATGCATCCTCGCCTTTAGCTTTTAGTCCTTTAAAGAGTCTTGAGAATGGAAATCACGAGAGATTTTTCCATGGAAATTCCGTTTGCAAAGCGTTTATTCAGGTTGATTTCTCGGCGCTCCGCGGCGTGAGCAAAGGGCAGGGCCTCCAGGGCTCCTTATGCGCTGTGGAGCCGGGGGCGCAGCTGCGCTGCGGTCCGGTCGGGGGACGGGACAAGCGGGGAAAGGGAAAAGCGGGGAAAGAAGCCGGGCGGGGGGGGCGGTGGACCAGACATCCAGACCTCCTAAAAGGCTCGTGCAGAGGCGCTGGCGGTGAGATTTAATTTTTTTATTGCAGCGGAACGGGAATGAATTGAGGGGAAAACGGAGATAGAACCTGGAAGAGCCCAGATGCGAGAACCTGTAGCTCCCAAGCATAAGATCTTCCAGAAGAGCTAGCCCGAAAACTAGGCGTCTGGGAACCCTGAAATCCATGCAGGAGTAGCATCTCGTGACCCTCTGCGTTCCTTTAGGCAAAAGGACTTCCACTGTTTGTTTGTTCGATTGCTTGTGTTTGTTAAATAAATAAAGCGCTTTCCACTCTGAAATTGCGTTGGTTCTATTACTTTAGGGTTACAAACAATGCTGCGCTCATCATTCTTGTTCACTTCTCACTGGCCACCGGGGTGTTTCTCTAGGGTGGAGGCCTGGAGAGCAGTTGTTCCAGCATAGTGATCACGTGGCTTTTATATCAGTCCATTTTCTTTCCTTTTCTGACTTATTAGCTATAATTCTTTCTTTCGATATGTCAGTGATGGCTTTAGGGTTTCTAGACTACAACTTAATCAGTCTGCCATCAAGCGACATTGTACCTCCCCTTCTGGCCTTTATGCTAGTGTTGTCATATAAATTGATTTTACACATGTTATAAACCCCCACATGGAAGTACCCACATAGCGATTTTCAGTCGTCTATATTTCTTTGTGGAGGTCCAGATTTCTGTCTGTCATCTTTATCTGAGGCCTAGAGGACTCCTTTAACATTTCTTGCAGTGTGGGTCAGTGAATGCTTTCATATATTTGTATGTCTTTATTTGTGTTTGTATTTTTTTCATTTAAGAGCAGAAGTTTAACAGGTGAAAGAAAGAGAAAAGCTCCCTCGTGCAGAGGAAGGGTCCCAAATGGGTTTCCCTATTTGTATTTTTTTTTTAGATGGAGTTTTGCTCCATCGTCCAGGCTGAAGTGCAGTGGTGTGATATCAGCTGGCTGCAGCCTCCATCTCCTGGGATCAAGTGATTCTCCTGAGTAGCTGGGTTAGAGGTGCATGCCACCACACCTGGGTAATTTTTGTATTTTTAGTAGAGGCAAGGCTTTGCCATGTTGGCCAGCTGGTCTCTGACTCCCTGACCTCAACTGATCCCCCTGCTTCCCAAAGTGCTGGGATTACAGGCCTGAGTCACCAGTGCCTGGCCTCGTTTTTTGTATGTGTTTCAATGTCCTTACTTCAGTCACGATGTTGAGTTTTCACTGTTGCATCGAATTCCAGAATAACTTTTTCCTCTTTCACCACTTTAGGATGTTGCCACTTGGACATCTTGTCACCGATATGCCATCTTCTCTGTTTTTGTAAAACTGGCATGAAGGAGGCTTCCTAAACTTGTTATGTAATTTGTGGAATATGTATTTAAATTTAAAATGTTTTTCTTGATTATACTTTAAGTTCTGGGATACACGTGCAGAACGTGCAGGTTTATTACATGTACCTATACATGTGCTATGGTGGTTTGCTGCACCCATCAACCCGTCATCTACATTAGGTGTTTCTCCTAAAGCTATCTCTCCCCTTGCCCCCCAGCCACCAACAGGCCTTCGTGTGTGATGTTCCCCTCCCTGTGTTTACAGGTTCTCATTTTTCAACTCGCACTTATGAGTGAGAACATGCAGTGTTTGGTTTTCTGTTCCTGTGTTAATTTGCTGGGAATGATGGTTTCCACCTTCATCCATTCCCCACAAAGGACATGAACTCATCCTTTTTTACGGCTGCATGATATTCCATGGTGTATATGTGCCATGTTTTCTTTATCCGTTCTATCATTGATGGGCATTTGGGTTGGTTCCAAGTCTTTGCTATTGAAGAGTTCTGCAATAAACATATGTGTGCATGTGTCTTTATAGTAGAATGATGTATAATCCTTTGGGCACATACCCCGTAATGGGATTGCTGGGTCAAATGGTATTTCTGGTTCTAGATCTTTGAGAAATTACCACACTGTCTTCCACAATTGTTGAACCAAATTTAAAATATTAAAATGGGCTGGGTGAGGTGGCTCACATTTGTAATCTGGACACTTTGGGAGGGGGCGAAGGGAAGATTGATTGAGGCCCAGAGTTGGAGACCAGCCAGGACGAGATAGCAAGACACTGTCTCTCCAAATATATAACTATATCTATCTCTCTCTATATATATATACATATCTGTATGTGTGTGTATATATATGTCTACACACACACACATAGATACATCCATCATGAAAGTCCTACATTCATCTTAAATTCCACCAAAAGTGCACTTAACATAAAATGTGCCCACCCTGAGGGTCAAAGCTACCTGCTGATGTGTGGTTTGCGTTTGTGAGACATTCTCAATGGCGTTTGCTTTCCCTAGCACAGTGCTTTTCATGTTTTCCTCACACCTGAATGTCTCAATGTAAAATCTGTCAGAATCCATTTCTTTTGTGGTTTTTCTTTGAGAACACTCCAAGGTTTTGTTTTATTTTATTTATTGATTTTATACCTTTAAAAAGCACAGAGACAAACACTGGCAACTGGCATAGATTACTATATTAGTCTGAGTTCTCCAGAGAAAGAAACGAGCAGGACACACACACACACACACACACACACACACACACAGAGAGAAAGAGAGAGAGATTTACACCAGCTCACATGATCAGGGAGCAGAGGAGTCCGGGTCTGCACTGAGTAAGCTGTGGACCCAGGAGAGTTGAATATAGTTCACCACCAAGTCCAAGGCCCATGGCAGAAGGCTGATGTCCCGGCTCAAAGACAGTGAAACACAAAGACATCTTTCTTAGCCTTTCATTCCATTGAAGCCTTCGGTGGGTTGGATGAGGCCCACGCACACTGGGGAAGGCAATCTGCTTTACTCAGTTTACCGATTCAAATGTCAGTCGCACCCAGAAACACCCTCAGAGACACAATGAGAAATAGTGTCTAACCAAATATCTGGGCACCCCCTGGCCCCGTCAAATTATCCCAGAATTAACCTTCACAGACAGTCTCAGTAAAAGTGATGGATAAACACAGCATCAATTCCTGCCAAGAAAGACATTTTGGTCTTTTCTGTATTGTTGCTTTTTCACGCATCACCCGGTAATGACAAGATTTCCGGGAAGAAAAGTCGATCCCAATTGACAAACATGTTCCAGAAACTGGATTAGTAAACACGAATAGCTTCCAGGTAGACGAGGCCAAGGCAAGGAAATCACACTGAACACAGGCTGTTTTGGGAGGGAGGGGATTCTAAATAACAAGGAAAATCAACACTAAATGTACATAGGAGAAGACTAAACATGGGATATTGGGAAGACTAAACATGGGATATTTACGAAACTATCATACAGATACGCATATTGCATATATATACATTTTATTTAAAATACATGCCAAATATACATAATGTATATCATAAATGACATAAAAACATATATTTATGTATAAAAATCTATTGAAAGAAAAAACAC